AGGTTTGTGTAAGTGTGAGTTCATAGACGGACGGATGATCAGGTTTGTGTAAGTGTGAGTTCATAGACGGACGGGTGATCAGGTTTGTGTAAGTGTGAGTTCATAGACGGACGGACGATCAGGTTTGTGTAAGTGTGAGTTCATAGACGGACGGGTGATCAGGTTTGTGTAAGTGTGAGTTCATAGACGGACGGGGGCCTTGGATAGGTCAGATAATGGGGAGAGAATCTATAAAGTTCTTATTGCAAGTCAGAGTTTTATTTCTGAAAATATAAAGACCCTTTTTTAATGAGTATGGGGGTTCTAATTTTGAAATAAGAAGGCAAAAGTGTTTACATTTTAAACAATTAATTTCAATTCAAAGCACTCTAGTACATCGTAGTTGGGAAAGTGGCAAAATTAGGTATACAGTGTCGTCTAAAAAAAACTCGAAATCATATTCATACAATTATTGTTTTAAGATCTTGCACTACCCACTCATGCAGCCTATCAATATAGAGTTAGATAAATTCTGCACCATTTGGGCACATTAATATTTCATTTATCATAACAGTCACCAGACATATAGTCACTTAAAATTAACTTTTTTATATCAGATTTTCCCTAAATTTGCAAAACTAAAGAATCTTAAAAGTGTGTCCGCGCGTGCATTGAGGTGAATCAACATTGATGGAATGGATATACATTGCTTATCAAATGAAAGTAGAATTTTGTTACTACAATAAACGCTATTTTATATCGATAGTTTCAAACAGATTGGAAAGCAGAGAAATGACAAATACCATGCAATATTTAGACTTAATATTGAATGTGCTCGTCAGAAGGTGCAAAACGTCTACATGATCAAATAATCACTGCTTTCCTTCCTTAACGCAGTCAAATTAACCCGTAGACCGTAATAGAAAATGGCCTGATAAATTTAAATGGTAAAAGATGTTCAGGAAATCACCAACAAGCAGTGTGTAAAACACTAAAAACTCTTTCACTTCCTCATAAATATCCTATTCACCATTTTTGGGCCACTCTTATAAGCAGTCGCAATCAACTATTATTGTGTAAGCTAACAATTAAACTGCTTGAGTCTACCTCACAAAGGTAAGAGAGGAAAAACTCCTAATAATCTCATGACTGCTACATCTTTTAGGTTGTTTTTGTTTTTTTTTGTTGTTTTTTGGGGGGGGGGGGTTCTCTCTACTATTTAGCACCCTATAATCATATCATTTCATGATTATATTGACTTCTGGCTGCGAAAGGCTACTAGAAAAAGACAACCACATTCGAAACCAAATTGATAATACATTTTGTAGTATTGTCATCTCTGTTTCTTTGACTCCTGTTCGCGTCTTTAGTTGCATTAAAATTTACTGTTTAAACATCTTGGCGTATTCACATCTTTAGTTGCATTTAATGTTTAAAAATCTTGAGGCAATTAGTTATATAGCTTGTTTAAATGTTATAATTACATTTTTCCTAAAGTATGGACAGTAATTAATTAATGAGATATTATTTTTTTTTTTTTTTTTATGGGTCAACATACAACATGTATTGACGATTTATTTTCATTAACAATTTAGTGATTCCACCTTGAAATAAGAAGTTTTGTTAATGATGTTCCCGTTCTGGGAAAACTTTTTGTCTATGACGTTATCTGTATTTCGTTCATGGTGTCTCTTTGATTACCCTGTCAAACAAGTCAGCCTTCGCCACTGCTTATTAGTATTTTGTTGAGATGACATTGGTTTTGTATAGAGCACAAACCCTTTGGTCATGGACTGATAAATTTTTGTCGTTTTGGTATCTGTCATTTCATTCATCTACGTCACAGAGAGTTGCAAACAGAAGTGTCTCGATTGGACGTCAAGCCGTGATTCTTCAGCTGCTGTTCCATGGGCTTCAACGTATCAGTAGATTTCGAAACAGGGATATTTACTGGTGACCACTCCACCATTTGGTATGATTTGATTTTCCAAGAATTGTCGGGAGATGCTGGCCCTGTGAGAAGGTGCTTTGTCGTACATAGAGATGTCTACTTGAATGACACCACGACAAAAATAAGGGTAAGACGTGACGTTCCAGAACTTGCGTGGTGTAGCGCTCAAAACGAAGCTTACTGTTGATTCTCACGGTTGCCTTTTTGTTCATTCCTAAATTATTCCAGTTTTGTGGATTCTGTTGCCGTTTTGTTCATTCCAGGCAGACCACCTAAATTATGGCAGTTTCTTGGATTCTGTTCCTCAGTGACAGATGATTATGGGCTACCCTAACTAACACAGGGCATGCGCACAAAGGAGTCGTGCCCTACTTATCTAATGGCTTCTAAACAAAATTCTAATAACACATTAAAAGTTAAGTCAAGGTTTTGCGTGGTGTTTGAGACTGTTCTGTTTTCCAATGTATTTGAAAATATCGAAAACGATTTTGCTCATTGCAGAGACAATAATATTCTCCATTTATTTGACATTCAATACATGTCCATTCCCCCCGCAGTTAACGATACATT